ATATCTACTGTTTGAATTTTTACCTGTTGGTTACATGTACAGAATGATGTTGGCAAAAGAAAATGTTTTCATTTTAAAGAACCAAGTTGGGGAATGCCTACCATGTGCTTGACAGTAAGAATATCTGATTTAAATGGAAGGAAAAGGAATGTAACTGTGCCTTGAGGGGAAGTAGGGTCAAGTGAACACTTATTTTCAGTTGAGAAATACTTTCTACCTCCCAGAATGGCATATTCATGAGACTGCATCTGCCATGGCTGATTCCACTCATTATGTTTCACTTAGACTGTGCTACAAGGCACTGGGCATTTTTAGAGATATTCATAAGGGACATGTTGTGTAATTTTCCTTCTTGGTGCTTTTGACATGCTAGTCCTCTCTTCCTAGTGTGGGACAAAAATGAAATGAATGCCCTGTTCCCAACTTGTCTGATTCCTGTGCTATTCAAGAGAGAATAAAGCAAATGCTAGAACTGAATACATTAGTTTTTATGATGTAAAGTATCTTTTACTTATCTTCTATCTGTCCCAGATTTTCTTTTTGAGCACAACCTGTGACAGCATTATCAATTAGAATCTTTGTAGAAATCCAGGCTACTTGATCTGATGGTGCCTGTGAATGTGACATTCTTATACGTTAGGCAATTATTATTTTTTTATTGCTTATAACTTTATGTATTTTTCTATCCTTGAGCAGACTAAGAGTACTGGAAATTGAGTGTTCATTGCCGTGGGATATTTGATCACACTCTGAGCTACAAGATTATGTTATTCAAATAAAATCAACTATAGGTCAAGAGAAGCAACCAGTTGAATGGAATTAACCATAGAAAGTGATGTAAAGTTAGGAGGTTGGAAAAAGAGACACAGAGGAAGGAAAAGGGGCACGGGGGTGGGGCATTCTGTTGGAGGAGTTTTTGTACCAGATGGGATAGGAGAAAAGTCTCTTTTTGGTATGATAGCAGTGGAGGAAGGTCCACTGACCGCTTTCTGTGCTCTCTAAGCTAGCAGGGCTACACCCAACAACCGACAACCAAAGCCTTAATGAAAAAATAAAAAGACAGAGACCTAGTCAAAACTATTTGCCTTCCTTTGCGGAGGCGGCTCAGGCAGTAGGAGGGGGGTGGCAGTAGACATGAGGGCTCCTTCCAGGTCGCAGCCTCCGCAGCAAGGTGTTGCAGAGGTGGAGTCCGCAGCGGAGGCAGCCGTGGGTTCAAATTCAGTCACTGTGCTTCAGATTAAAAAAAACAAACATACAAACAAAAATCTATTCTTCTTTCTTCTTTGATATTTAATTATTACTCTGCTGAGGAAAATATCTGAATACTAGAAGTAAAAACCTGAAGTCTAGCAGATAACACAAAGACATTCTGTCTGAAATATATCCCCCATTTATGACATTTCAGTTGAGAAAGGGACTCCATTCTTTGATTCCCCAGTGCACGTTATTAGGTAGTTTCCAACATGTTACAATCTTCATTTAGATATTGGAGACTGTCTCGTGTCTAAAAGAGTCCGATGTAATGTTTATATGAAAACCCCACGAGTAACAGATTCTCCTCTCGTGTTGGCAACAGCAGGGCACGATGTGACTACATTTAGAGACCAAGTCTGTAGAGGGCTATGATAAAGCAGTGACTTTAGAGTGTACTCGAATTCAACTACTGTTTTTGGAAGGAACATAATAAATCTTAATGTGGAAATTGCCACAAGGTATGCTGACAAACTGTAAAAGTACGGTAAGATGAGTGAATGTACAGAAAGTCCCCAGGTGAAACAAAACCTTCTAATGCATCTCCTTAGATTTACAGCCTCCAAGGTAGTGGAAAAACCGAATCTGGGCAAACTGAACTTGTACACCAATTGGTCTCTGATTTTCTTTTTTTAACATTAGCCTAGTCAAATGAAAACACTCACTAGTCAAAAAAAAAATGTAGCCATTTAATTTGTTTAAGGTCATATATGTGTGTATAGGCCAATAAGATAGCTTATAGGTTCCTGGATATGAAAAAGATTCATTTGGTCTTAAAGTGTAAGTAAACACCTAGATTAAAGGAAAAAGGAAGGGTGGTGTCAAAATTAAAATTTTGATTTAGAAAACAATAAATACCGAAAAAAAAAAAAGAATAATAACAGGAGGTAAATAAAGGTTGAGCTTTGAGTACTGAAGCAACACTTGTTTTAAGTCACATTTTGTAATAAACGAGCTTTTGCCTTTTTGATCATGTAAATAAGAATGTTTCTGTAATACAGAGATTTTTAATACTTATTATCTAAATTTCAAAATTGTAAAACAAAAAAAATTCACAAATCACTTGAGTATTTTCTTTTGCCCAGACAATACCTTACTTAACTCTTGCTAAGTAAGTCATCCAAAGATTCAACAAGAATCTGAGGTGGAAATTCTATTGTGATGGTAAATGAATAAATACTCAAAGAAGGGTGTTTGGGAGTGGTGATAGGAAGGGTGAAAATTATGTAAGTAAATATTTTGTGAAATTTTCAAATAATTATTTACATTAAAAAGAAACTCTGCATTTTACCAGATAACAAAAGAAGTCAAGACTATGTTTCACCTTAAGAAACTCTAGGTAAAGGGATATATATATATATATATATATATATATATATATATATATAATCCCATATCTGATTATTAAGAATTTGAAAGTTTTTAGAAATGTGAACACATTTTTATTTATGCAGGAAGAAAAAAAAATCTGTAATTCTCAAGACAATTGAAGTATGTGGATTTTAAAATATCTAAAAATGAATCACTATTTCAAGTTTAATATAAGCTCAAATATTTCTTTATACTCAACCAGTTAAATCTAACCTACAATTAACTATTTATGTTATACTATCTGCTGTTTTTATCTTTTCACACATAGTGATCAATAAATGTTTAATTAGCTCCCTGTGGCCATTTTCATGTAACATGTTGGTGCCTTTGAGTCACTGTTAACACTCAGAATAAAAGAAACAAAATCTTGAAGATCATTCATCAGCTTAAACACTGTGAGTGTCCTGTAAATATCCCACAAACCACCAAGCAGCCCAGGCTTAAATGAGTATCTCACCATGAACTCTTCATTCTATGAACAGATGATTGAAGTAATGAACAACTTTAACAGTGGGAAGATCCTCCATTTCCATTTCAGGGTTGAAATCTACTTATTCTCTTTGCTGTTCTCAGTGTTGACTTTTTACTTTTTTTTCCTCCAAGTACTAGCTGTTTCTTCTTTTGAACTTACATGTGCCCTTTTTTTATCCCCTTTGATTCAGTTTATATATTCCATGTCTAGTTTTATTCATTCAATTTGGTTTCTTTTAAGACAGGGATTCATAAAATATAGGTTGCCCTACAACTCACTATGTAGCCAAAGTTGGCCAAGTCATTGTTTTTTTCTTGCTATTTCTTAAGAGCTGAGTTACAAGTGTTCCCTCCATGCTTGGCTTCCGTATATCATTCTTCAAAACAAATTTATTCCAGTAGAGTGTAGCTGTGTGCGACTGCAAACCTAACCTTTGGGACAATGACACAGGGAAATTTCGTCTTCCAGATTAACCTGGGCTTCATAAAAAAAAAAAAAATCTAGTTTCACTAAATTAGTTAATATATTAATGAAGTCATTTCAGTTCAGATACTGTGGATCTTGTACAAGTATGACATGATAAAAACAAAACAAAAAACAAACAAAAACAACTAGTCACTGACAATAAGGTTCATTTGGAATATCTTGTAAGTTGTATGGAGTAAATTGTGCTCTCACAGCATTAATATTTTATTAATGTTATGAACTCCAACAACTCATTGATTATATTTGGAAATATGGCATTTGAAAGACTGAAAGAAGACACAGTGAGAACAGAGCTGGCTACACAACAGGGAGAGAGATCTCACCAAAATGCTATGTGGAGATCTTGGTCTTGAACTCTTTTCACCTCAAGCTTTGATAGAAGTACTTCCTGTTGTTTAATCTACCTAAACTTAGATATTTGTTTCGTGATGTTGGACACATGGTTCACTTATAAGGGCATTCGTAGCTCATGCTCGGAATACACTACAGATACCTACCTCAACCCATATGAAGAGACAAAAGCTTGTGGAAAATATTGCATGCCCCTAAAAATAATCTTTCTTCACATATATAGAAAAATAATGCCTCACATTTAAGTAAGTATGCGACATTTCCTTAATTCTACAAGTGCACCTGTGAGAGTGTTTAAATGTTGTGTCATAATCTTCATAATTCCCTGATATTACAGCCCTTGCAACACTGAAAAGAGATCCACAGGATTCTCATAGAAATAGAATTGCCAACACCCTGGTGATCGAGGGGATTCAAAGTTCACCCTTTGCAAAAATGTCTTGATTTGGATTCCAGATATATTTAGGGCCGAGTCCTTTTGCATTTTTTCTTTTTTCTCCTCAGTATGTTGAAGCAGAAAAAGACTGATGTTTTCTGCCTGCAAGCTCATACCATCATTTCTTTCTTATTCAGCAGCCTGAACCTGTATTATACTTAAAGCCTTAGGTTTGATTAACTCCTTTTACCAGAGATCTGGGATTCACTGTACTTGAGCTCTCTGAGCCTGGATATTTTAAATCATTTTCTCCATGAACCTTTGTCCCAGGAGTATAAATGAGAATGTTCCCTGGAGCTCATCAGTTCCTTTCTGAGCTTTCCCTTTCTCAAAGTGGAGCCTAGTTTTTGTGCTACAACACTAGGAGCCATGTTATAAAGTAACTGGCTTTCACACAGAATTAGAGAACTGTTATGTGTCCTCAGGTGAAAATTAGATATTTTAGAATGATGTTTATTTCCTGAAAGCTAAAGTAAATCAATTACTAATCAGGTGTTTAACTTTATATTGGTTTTCATTCTAGGATGTATAGATGAAGAGTATACTATATGTGCCTTCAAAATAAAATGTACATCCTTCTTATCCTTGTATCCTCCTACACAGATACATCAGTATTCTTACTTTCTTCTATAGGCTTGTTTCCAAATCACACCTAAAGAAAATGGCAATCATTCTCCAGGATATTCAGAATCTTTCTTTATGTAAGGTACATATGCATAATATATCTTCTCCTTACTAATTCATAATAATTTAGCTCATATTAGCATTCTTTATTTTTAGAGGGAAAAGTCTTTTCCTCTATGGTAATATTTCTAGATATTTATCCAATTACATATACTTACTTTTAGTCTTTGTTTAAAAAGAAAATTAATTTTTTTTTCATTCAATTCATTGACTCATAATAGTAGGATTCACATTTTTTCAGGAAAAATGCTTTGGCATACCTCCAAAGGGATCCTACAGAAATGAATTGAAATTAAATTCTCTAAACACAATGACACAAAGATTAGAAATGTATAATAAGGCAACATTTTCTAATTTCACCAAAAAATGAATCTAAGCTACAGTTTTCTAAATAACTAATTCAAAAGGTCATCATAAAGGAAATTAGAAAACAGTTTGGAACTCAATGAGGTGAAACCAAAGATATGAAATGTATGGGATTCAAAGAAAATGCTAAGAGGAAATCAACATATGTAATTTTAAAGTTTTACATGAAAGAAGAACATATAAGTCATTCCCTGACTTTCTATTAAGCAACTGGCGGCAGGGGGGGCGAGGAAATTTATTTAAATTAACTGGCTTATCATGTTGTTAACAGGAGAAATAGAGAACTCAGCTACAGTGAAATAATAACAGTCAGGTGAGAAAGTAATGATGTAGACACTCAAAAAAAAGATGAGCATGTTAGTTATATCAAAAGCTACTTTTTGTAAAAGGAAGAAAAAGATTAGAATATTTATATGGAATGAAATAAAGACAACTACAAATGATGAGGCTGAACTGGGAATTAGAGTCAGAAAACACACTACACAGAGGAGGAAGACAGAGCTCTGTGGTAGAACACTGTCCTACCATGTTGAATCTTGTTTTCAATTTACCTCACATACTCACAAAAATAGGAAAAACATTTATGGGCTTATATAAATTTGATTAAAGAAATTGACTTATTGGCAAGAGTAAGTAACTGGGACTGACTAGAGATGGCTGGAAAACTTTCTGAAAGTAGAGGATTAAAGCATAATTATAATCAATAAATATAATGACTTAAGCATTTCAAAATGTAAGAAAAAACATCTTCCCACAAAAAATAATTCCAATGACACTATTCCTCAAAGCTGAAATACCTGAAATTTCTGCCAAACATTAAAACAAGAATTTATAACAGCATTTTCTAAATTCTCTAAAAGTAGAAAAGATGGTTATACTTTCCAACTCTATAAGTAATATATATGTATATATATATATATATGTAATACATATTTATATGTAATAGATATAAAGGTGGGCTGTGCAAATGGTATTACAAGAAAAATAAGCCAGGCAGCGGTGGTGCACGCCTTTAATCCCAGCACTCGGGATGAAGAGCCAGGCAGATCTCTGTGAGCTCAAGGCCAGCCTGGGCTACAGAGCAAGATCCAGGACAGGCACCAAAACTACACAGAGAAACCATGTCTTGAAAAACAAAACAAAACAAAATAATAATAAATAAATAAAAATAAAAATAAAAAATACCTAGTCAACATATCACCTTAAAGTAAATACAAAATATACTGTAGCCTTGATAAAAATAGGTCAGAGGTGAAAGCTTCATTTAGGTTTATATTTCAAGGGAGTTTCCATGATCATCTGATGTCTCTGAGACTTTAGGCATCTGGTGAGGCATAGAACCAAGGTGGGTGCAGTTTGGGATAGTGGAAGTGGCTTTGCTTAAGGTGCCTGGGAGGATTGGCAGCAAGGGATCAAAGACAAAATATACTTTTCAGGGGTTCGGGATTTAGCTCAGTGGTAGAGCACTTGGTTGAGTCTTTTGTTGACAGTAACAGTTTATAATTCTTGTATTTCCCTATGCTCCAGACACCGCTGGGGGTTCCTCACTGGTGTATGTGTTGCATTCCCAATGCTCCAGACACCACTGGGGGTCCTCACTGGTGTATGTGTTATATTCCCGATGTTCCAGACACCACTCGGGGTTCCTCACTGGTGTATGTTATATTCCCGATGCTCCAGACACCACTGGGGGTTCCTCACTGGTATATGTGTTGTATTTGCTACTTGCTGCATTTCAATTCCACTAATTTTAATTTTTCTCTTTCTAACTTTATATTGTTACAGTGTAGCTATGTATCTCCATGATTTATCTGTAGGGTACAACTGTAAACTATAACCTGTTCTAGGATGGATTATATTTATATGAAATAAAATTTCTTCCGGGAAAAATATTGAATGTTATTCACATTTACCACAAAGTATGCATAGCTAATACACAAATTCCCGAGTGTATTTGCTTACATTTCGTCTAAGTTGATATGCCATAACCATTTTTTTTTCTTTTCCTCAGACAGGAAAAGTCACTGGTATTTGTGATTTTGCCATTCTTTCCTATGAATGCAAGATAAGCCAGCTCCTGGACTGTTGCTACCTTGTATCACTGGCATGGTCAACGGGAAATTGACTCTGCCAGGCCCCATCTTACCAGATTCTGGACTGCTGCTACCTTGTATCACTTGCATGGACAAAGAAAGTGACTCAGCCAGGCCCAGTCTAAGCAGATGCACTTACACTAATAGAAGGCATGGACAAAATTAACCCCGGAAACAGTATCAAGACTCTGTTAGTGATAATAAGATCAAAAATAGCACTGGTAATTTTGTCTTCTACAGTAACTCCTCTTTGTCACCAGGAAATGTTCTGTGGATAATCATAGACAGCAGCTATATACAGCTTAGGGAGAAAATACAAGTGTGGAGATGCCTGTCATATAGCGCCACAAGAAAGCTATCTGCATATCTCTCTCCGATTCTGCATTTTTGTGGGAAATAAATTGGATGAAGCTGACATTTGATTTATTAATTTCTTAAGAATTACTGGTGTTAGCTGGGCGGTGGTGGCGCACGCCTTTAATCCCAGCACTAGGGAGGCAGAGGTAGGCGGATCTTTGTGAGTGCGAGGCCAGCCTGGTCTCCAAAGCGAGTTCCAGGAAAGGCGCAAAGCTACACAGAGAAACACTGTCTCGAAAAAAACCAAAAAAAAAAAAAAAAGAGAGAGAATTACTGGTGTTACAATAAAGTTACACATAGGCCATTTGTTCTTACCTGTTTTCTCTCCACCCATCTAGCAAACCTTGGAGTATGTTTCTTTTTTTTGTTTGTTTGTTTGTTTTTTACAGCAAGTTAAGTTGAAAACCATACATTTAGGTTGAATGGTGGGTAGCATTCCAACTAGAATATACATTCACCACTTGTGCCTAATCATTCACGACTTAGTCATGATTGATCTGACATATACACATAATTACTATCAGTACAGAGGTATTGGGGACACAATTCCAGAGTAGTCTGTATCATCAACCAGAGAAGAATGTGTTAAAAAGATGAATAAATATGTGCATGTGGACAACAGACACTCACACACACACACACACACACAGAGAGAGAGAGAGAGAGAGAGGGGGGGGGAGAGGGAGGGAGGGAGGGAGGGAGGGAGAGAGAGAGAGTTTTTTAAAGTTACAAACCTTCCTGGGTCAACTTTGGTCAATCCAAACTTTCAATGAACTCACTTTTCACATGTGAAAAGCTTGTGAAGAAGAAACCTCTACTCTATATTACATAAATTCAAACATTAATCCCTTATATAATTAACTTCTTGATAAGTCCAATATATTGCTATATATAATTTTTAAAGTATAAATTATGTTCAAACATTTTGTGATTTAATATTTTTGCAGAGTTAGATACAAGATAAATAATCATTATTATCTATATACTAACTGATTTCACACTTATTCTAAAAGACAATTATTTTAGTTTTCATAGAGTTATGTTTATATACTCATTTTTGTTTTAGTCTCTACCAAAAGCAATAATAATAATAAAGAATTCTTATGACAACATGTGCCCACAAAGTATGTAAATGGCTTAAATGTACATGAGATTTTTAGAGACTTGAAGGAGTTATTCTCTATATTTGAAAGCCTTTGGATATCAGTCACCAATTAGTGTGGTGGCTCAGGAGTTGGGACCTCAATGGAGGAACTGGGTCATTTGAGAAGGCTTTTGGGTATCAAAAGCCATGTGCCACTCCCAGGAAGTTCTGCCCACTTCTTGTTTGTTTTTCAAAATACAGGCCTTCAGATTAAGGTATTATATGTACTAAGATGTTGATGGATTCATCCCCCTGAGATCCTACCTCAAAATTAACTCTTTCTTCTTTAAGTTGCATTAGTGATGGTTTTTTACCATAGCAAGATAAAACTAAGTCCAAAACTGGTACCAGGATATGAGGTACTTCTCTGAAGAAACTGCCCATGGTATTTTGGAGCAGCATGTGGAAGACTTTAAAACTGTAAGCTAAAAAAAGTGAATCAACACCATAAGTAGAGCTTAATGAGCCACACAGTAGGAGCTTGGGAGACATTAGTGCTGAGAGTGATGGAGATTGTGGAGGTTTCAGAGCACAAGAGCCCAATATTGATTCTGGCTGCTCACTATCCTCATCCTAAAACCTCCTCTGAGGTTAAATTAAAAAATAATGGTACAATTTCTTTGGGAGGAGAGTTTTCAAGACAGCCTAATAATGCTTTTATATATGGTTATTTTTAATCTCTCTTATGAAGGTTTACAGTGAAAAAAGTCAAACTAGGCAGAAATAAATACAAAATATGTCGATTGAAGAACAGAAGAGCACCAGGAACTTAAATGTTGCAGCCAAGGGTTGTGCTGAAGGAAATAAGAAAATTAAGAAGAACCCAAATCATCAGTGGATAAAGGGAAAGGGTTACTTCAAGGTAAGGCACCACTCACTTAAGCTTCCAACTGGTGATAGGAAAATGTCTAAGGTACTTTCTCCAAGCAGAAAAGAACAATAAACAAAAACTGTTGTGAATGTGTTGAATGGTGTCCTTGAATGGTGTCCAAGATCTGCTTCAGGTTGGTAGCCAAACTTGTCAGTGTCTTCCATGTGACAGGCATGAGGGATACAATAGTAAAGGATTCACAGAATTCTTCCTCCACTGCTTCAGAGAGATGCTGAGGCCAGGCATGTGGGAGGAGAATCTCTACATGAGAGCCCCAAGAGAACCTTATGTGAAGCCCTGGAAGTGAAGCGTGAATGCCTTTGGAGACCACAAGATTTTTGAGGTGCCACAGTCATCACATATCTGTCAATAACAGCGGCTTACAGAGACTGAGCCCCCAAATGGAAGTGGTCAGGCAGCAAGGAGCCCTCTTTGTTATTTGGCATCAGACGTGGAGCTACAGAATTTAGAGTTCCCCCAGCTAGGTTTTGGTCTATCTTTTTTATTTCTTCCAGTATTCCCTCACTATGCCTTCCATTGCTCCTTTTTGAATGGCAACGTATTTTCTGTGTTATTTTATTTTAGAAGCATGCAATTGGCTTTTAGATTTTTACAACAAAGAGTTACAGTTAATAGTTTGCTTTGAGTCTCATTAAATTTACATTTTACTCTTTATAAGTGTCAGGGCACTCAAAGGCTATTGGAACTTTTGAAATAGGATTAAAATACATTTTTTTTTCGTTATGACAAGTCCACAAGATGGGAGCCAGGGAGTGGAATGTGCTGGTTTGCATTAGAATTTCCCCACATTTTCAGGCATTTGAATACTTGGTCCCCAGCTGATAACCACAGTTGGGGAGGTTTTGAAGGTATGTCATGGCTGGAGAAAATGTGTCAATGGTGTTGGAACTCCATGTTTCATTCTCAGTTTTCTCTCTTCTCTTGCTCTCTATGGTTTGAGATGTGAGAACTCAGCTTTCCATATCCAGCTCCAGTCATAGTATCCCCTGCTGAATTTCCTTGCCAAGATGACAATGGACTCTTAGCCCTCTGAAACAATAATCCAAACTAAGTCCTTTCATCTGTCAGTTGTTTTACTCATGGTGTGTATCACAGCAACAGGGAAGTAACTAAGACAAGATTATTCTTCTCATTTCAGAAGATGTAGACTTCACAATTGTTGCCAACAGTTCAGTTGCTAACAGTGTCTTTGGGCTACAAGTAATGTTTTAATATGTCCACTTTCTTATGTTTGTGATGAGAAAGAACCTGTTAGTACATTGTTAAAGAATGACCTTTGGGATTTTAGGAATGCTGTTCAGTTTCAAGACAAAAAGAAAACTGAAGGAAATTCATGTATTTCACTAGGATTCAGTTCTTTAGATATGCGTTATTCTTCACATCAACCTACAATTAGTGGGGTAAAGTAACAGAATAATTATCATAATAAGAAGGAATAGGACTATTATTTTCAGTGTAGATGAAACAAAACATCACATTCTTCATTAATGATATATCACACAAAACACTCCAGACATACATGGCTTCTGGGAACAAATTAACCAGAGAATAAATAACACGGTGCTTTCCCGTGTCTGGTACAAGCTTCTTAATATTGCAATTAAAATAATTTGAAATTTAAACTTGGATGAGTAGATGTTATGCACTAAGTATCTCAACATTGAATTGGATTCTTTGTTTTCTCCTCACAAATGTGTGAATCCTATGCTTATTTCTTTTTTGTGTGATGTAATCTTTAAACTTTCTGCAACATTCATTGGGAAAATTGACATTGAATATATATCTGTGATTGAAACCCATAGAAACACAGGTGAGAAGGCTATATAGGAAAAAAATGCCAGGCTCTTTGGGCAATAAAAAAATGTCATCTCTTGCATGGGTTTCTTATAATAAAGCAAAATCTCTTTCATTCTAACTCAGAGTGAGACTCCAAGATATTAGTGCTAATTAGAAATTGCTGATGGCTTTAAACAATAACTGAATGTTACTTTTCTTTATTATATTATAATTCACATTAAACGAGTTTTGGCATGAGATATTAAGCAGAAATTTAATCATTCTAAAATCTTGTGCATTTTAAGATTTATATTTTATTATTCACTTATTGCAATGCTTGTGTCTACTGGAGAAAGAAAAATTCTATCTCTGATTTTTGCAAATGATTTTTATAAGATAGGACTGGGGGAAATTAAAATGGCTGTTGTGGGAACTTAGAAAATGTACTTGGTTTCAATTTTTGAACACAACTAGAGCTTTGCTCAGTCTTCAAGAATAAGTAATATCCTGAAAATAATGTTGATATGTTACTTACAAGTTAGATGGCTGATAAAAATCCAAAATATTTCAACAGAAAAAAAATGAATTCTTCTTGTATCATTCTTAAAGGAATTAAATGTAGATATTTAAGTAATTTTGTTCAGTAAGTATAAGCAAAGTATTACACTTTGTCATGCTCTTGACAGTATTTATTTAATTGTTTTGTGGTTTTGGAACATATTTTATATTGTATTTGGCCATTATATTGGCAACTACTCCTATAAAATTTGCATGCTGCTTCTCCACAATTCCTCACATTTTATGAAATGTTTATGATGAGTAGAATAAGCATTTTGAATGATAGGTGACATTCTTAACTTTCTCCTTGAGGCACAGCCAACATCAGTGCTAAGGTTTTTGAAAGTATATGTAGCTCCCCATTAATCTTCAGTTCATGATTCATACACATATTTCTATTTTTTTTTAATCTCCTCTGGAGCTGCTCATTTGTTTTGACTCAGGAATTTGCTTGATTTAGAAGTTAGAAACATACATCTGCAGTATTGACAAAAACCTATTCATAATATGTGGGGACTTTGCTATATATTCCAGAGGAACATCAGTGTGGCAGAGTGAAATGCATAATTATTTCTGCCCATTATTTTTGAGCTATATATCTCTGTCTTTTTATGAATAG